AAACAAATTATAAAGTATGTAATCTAAATCAAATACAAATGTATAATCAATACACTCTCAAGAAAAGATTAGAAATTCACAAAAAACTAAGTTAAGCTATCTATCACACCACAAAAAGAAAATCCAAGAGTATAAGTGTAAAAATAGAAAAAAACCTAAAGCTTATTAAATTGGCTAAATCACCATAGTCAAGTAAACTCTTACAATAAGTTCTTTTTCTCTTAAAATCACTCACAAGACTTGATTTGATAAGAATATCAAGTCAAGGATTTTTTTCCATTTAAGTATCTAAATTCTAATTGATATTAATAAAGTCAATTAATAAAAAAAAATCAATAGATAAAAAACCACTAATCAAACTTTATTACATACATTTGACAAAATTTGGCACCTGATGCCATAAGATGTGACATCAATATAAGTTTTGGCTTCAAGAGAAGAATGCCTTTATTTGTGATAAGATTTTTATTATTATACATAAGATCACACAAATATTGGATCTAATAGCTAAAATACTTTCTAAACTTAAATACTTTCAATAGCATTAAAGTAGCATCTATCAATCAATTAGTCAAGAAGAAAGTAAACAACTAATCACAATTGGAGAATTCTTCTCAAATTGTTGGAGTTTATCAATTAAGAAGTGTTAACCACATATGTAATGTAGTGCATCAACTTTGCCCTTCAATATGGCTACAAAAACTCAATCTTCTTAACATATTAATTATTTTAGATCTTAGTAAAAATTTAACCTAATTTTAATATAAATATTTTAATACCTATAGAATAAATTGACTTTGTATAATTATTGAAGTTTTATAACTATATCCATTATTAATAATAAAAATATAATGGTATTAATTAATATTTATATTTTTTGAGATTTTTTCACATATATATATATATATATATATATATATATATATATATAAACATATATATTAGGCATGCTTTTAAATGTTTTAAAATGCAACATCTTAAATATTTTCTAAAAATTAAAAAAACCATAATGACTTGATTGCACTTTTTTTTCATCCAAATACAATTTCTTAAAATTATTTATTTATTAATTTATATCTCTTAATGGATTATAACATTTAATTTAAAATAGATTTAGGTCAGCTTTTGTAATTTTAATATTTTTATGGTTTCACTTAATATATGATCCAAAATAGTCGATTTGAATATTTCTACTATTAATCTTGTTCTAAGTATTTTTAGAAGTGTTATTTATCTTGTTAAAATGCTGGCACATTTGTTAATACCTTAAATTCTTTAAAAAAAACTAAATTAGAACACATTTGGATTAATAAAATTTATGTTTCAAATTCAATTATATATATATATATATATATATATATATATATATATATGTATGTATGTATATTATTTTTTATATTAATTTAAAAAAAATGTGAAATAAGAAACTACTTGAAAGTTATTTAATATTATTATTATAAGTTTTTTATTGAAATAATCTTAATATTTAAAATTTATTAAATATATATTATTAATATTTATCTATTTTTCCTTAAAATAGATATTAAATTCATTAATCATTAATATTAATCTATTTTTTCTAAATATTTATTTTTAGGAAAATAGATCAATATTAATGATTAATAATTTTTTAGGAAAATGGATTGCCAGTAGTGGAGATGCAACCTAGGATAAAGTTTATTAAGACAAATTCCTATGATGAATACGTTTTTTGTCAGCTAATATTAGATGATGATCCAATGGGAGTAGCCCTTGTTGTCAAAGAAAAAATGCTTTATTAATTAATAGTTCTTAATATATGTATATATAATAATAAAAAATAAATATAAATTAGAAGCAAATAAAGTAGTAGGAAAAGAAAAAATATGTAGTGGAAGAAAGAAAAATCAAAAAGTATGAGAAGAAGAAAAGGAAGAGAAGAAAAGAATAGAAAAAATAAATAAATAAATAAATAAATAAAAGAAGAGAAGATGATGACAAGGGGGAGGGGCTGCACCTGATCTACGGTTTCCTCTTTGCCAATAGGAGTCTGGGCAGCCCCAGACCCTGTCCCTTCTTGTTTTGGTTTATTTGTTCGTTAATGAGTTTCGAGCTCCGATCACTCCAGAATTCTTCCTAGAAGTGTTTCTTTTGAGAAGCAGCTACGGTGCTCTTTGCTCGTTGAGCATTTCGGATGTGTCGTGAGATTTCTTCTTGTTTAATGTTGTTTGGTAACAAAGGTGTTGGCGCTGGAGGTGCTGACATTCAAGAGCGGGAGGTGCCCTCTCTTGTTCAACGTAGTGCTTGTTTGACATAGTGCTGGTCTCAATTCGATGGAAGCACGGCCGAGTTGCGGTATATGTGTGGTTTTTGTTCATCTTCTGTGGTTTTTTATTGTCGTTGACGACGACATTGCGGTGATTGCAAAGGATCAGTTTTCTTCAACTGCCCTCGATCTTGTGCTGGAGGGTGTTGGTGAAGTTGGTAAGCTGAACAAGGCGTGTGGAAGGAATTGGTATTGCGACCAGAATTTATCGGCTACACTACTATCAAGCTTTCTTATTTTGTCTTCCCTCACTCTTAATTCCTGCAAGGAAAAGATCCAGATAAAGTTTTTTTCTTCTTCTTCTTCCTTGATCTCTATTCCGTCGGGGGCAGTGTTGTTACAATTTAGTGCAATTCCAGTGGCAATTTGTTCCATGGTGGAAATGGTGCAATGGTGGATTACGAGTAGAGTTCTTGGTCAAGTGGAGGTGTAATCTAAGGTTTTTTTCCCTCGTGGAGTTGCCCTGTAGTTCGACTTTCTGAAGACTGCCAGAAGTGTGATACCTTGGTGCGGTTTCTTCTTCCTTAGGAATGTGGTAAATGCAACGGTGCTGCGGAGGCACAGATTGTTCTGGCTATTTGTTGAATGTTGCGGTGGAGCGTCGACAATCTGCTCTTGTTGCTGCGAGGTCGAGGAATTCGGCAATTCTCGTCATTTATCTGGAGGTTGATGCTGGAGCCGTAGACCAGTGCAACAGTCCTGTCCAACTTGCTTCACGCGGCTATTTCTTCTTGGTTATTTACAGAAGACTAATCTTGGAGCGCATGAAGTTGGATCTAGATAAAATCTTCAGTTCAAAAGAGAAGAGCTCGTACTTTTGTGGACAAGAATCCGGGGAGCTCAACGTTTTTTTTCTCTTTTTTTTTTCCTTTGGCTCCAGCTACGGAGTTGTTAGGCACCAACTCTCGGTCCATTTTTCCAGCTCTAGTTCCAATTGGTTAATGCTTGGCCTTGCCCCTCTAAGTTGTTGTAATTTGACTAGTCAACGTTGAGCTCATGTTGAAGGTGATTCTAAGTAAGGAGGTTTGAGCGAGCGTATGAAGGCCGAACAACACATTGATTGAGTAGGATAGAGTCTCGTTTGCAGCAAAACTGGACATCTTTGCGAAGGGCAGCAACGGCAAGCTAGAAACTAGTTCTAATCAAGAAGTGGCAGAACCCACAATCTGAAAGCGGGTGTTCTCTACAATTCCATGGGAAAGGGTGTAAGCTGTGATCGACAACAATTGTGTCCAGTTTCCACCTAATCGAGTGCTGAAGGTGTGATACCAAGGGTCAACATCGGCTTGGAGTGAATCCACTTGCGGCGAACTTATTGCGTCATTTCGTATTGATTGCGTTACTAAGATTAGGCAACCTTAAGCAGACAATCGAGGCGCATTGAGTAAGCTCTTCTTTTAAAAGTTAATATAGGATTCATAGTCACGAATAAGTGCATGGTAGCATTGGATAGGCATGTATGCAATTGTCAGGAAGTAAGTTCTGCTGTTGAGATCAACAGTATCATCCTCCAATATTGGTGGTCAACCTACACTTTGGCGCACACTGGGCAGCCAGCAACTTTGTTAGCCTCTTGCATGGTTCCTCAACGTCTTGCAATCCATCTTGGAGGCAGCTCATTGCTCGGCTTTAAATTGTAGAGGCTTAAGAAGTGAGCACCATCGATCAACAAGCACAAAACTGCAGCAGCTGCTCCAACTTATTGTCAACGTAATTGGTGAGTATTTCCACAATAGGTGAAGTAGATTAGTTTGGATGTAGTAAGGTTAGGTTGCAAGAATTAAGATTTTGGATGGATGAGTATTTGGATGAGATTTAATTCAAGGATGAATTGTCATTTGAGGATGAAAACTTATTCAATCATGAATTTTTGTTGATGGATTAATTATAATTAAAATAAAATAAAATAAAATGACTAAATAAAAAATTAAATTAAGAATTAAGAAAAGGAATTCTTTGGCATGTATTTTGTGAATAAATTGCTATTATAAGAGTGAATTAAGGATAGAGGTTTTGCTTAATAACTTGGGTGTTTTAAGAAGATTAAAGAATGATTTAATTAGGATTTAAATAAGAATTATAACTTATAAAACTTGCATAGTTAATTCACTTGTTGTGAACTAGAATAAACTTCCAATTATTAGGGGTTTATTATAGCTCTCACCTTTGCAAAATCACCCTTAAATTTACATTTGATAGATAAATGTCAATTGATATTGTTATCCACATGTAACATAAGGCAACAAGTTTTGCATCTATTCTCTCTACATGCATGGATAGAATCAATCTTTGCATTGTTATATCAAAATTTTACTTGTAAGGATAAACACTAGATTGTCAAATAAGAGAGAGCTTTATGTATAACAATATTTTGGATTTGAGCATAATAAATGATAAAAGGTTTTTTTTTGTTTTTAAACCATTATTTACCACATAGACTACACCATTTTGAGATTCAATATCTTCCCTTGGAGTCAATATCATCATCACTCATACTATCAAGAAAAACAAATATACCACAAAAGTTTATACCTGCGTGAAGGCTTGATGTGATGAACATCTACTACTGATCCATCAAAAGTGGGTATGAGAGTTGGGTAGTATTCTCCCTAACCCCGAAGAATGGAATTGAGGTAGGGTAAGCAGCACCCGTGTGGAAAGGGATATTCCTGATTCCTTTGGGCGTCAGGGACATTCGGACTTGTCAGATTATTCCTCTCCATCTTCAATCTTAATCAAGCATGGGAATATAGAATTTTTGGGTTGTGCTCAAGGGTACAGGAGGAATTTGTATCAGGGAGCCATGCGCTTTGATTAGGTGTTGTGCTTTAAGCTTGTGTCTTCACATCGATTGCATCTCGCGGTGCCGCGCAGGGGAACAAGACGAGAGAGAGAAAGCTCACATTTGTTGCGTTGGTAGGGAGGATTCACGATGACTGAAGCAGGGTTTTTGGGGTGTTGTGGAAGCACCCGATTTGCTCGAGAGATGGCGCTGAGGGCCCCGTTTTCTTCTTTGGATCTCGCTGTGGAGGCAGCACGAGATATCTGGTGGAACAAGGTGATCTCTTGCATTCGAACTTGTAGCTCATTGCATGCCAATTTTGCGAATACCACGTACATTATTGGTGCTGAGCGAGGAGTTTGAATTGGTGGATTTTTTTATTATTATTATTTTATTCTAACTATATGAAATTGCATGATACTGTCTAAGAGGTTGTGGGTGGGCGAAGCTACGTCTTATTATGGGATCACATAGCCGCTTCTCAATCCAGTGACATTGTGGGGTTATCCTAGAATCTTGTTACGAGAGCCACATGTTCAGAGTGTTCCGTTCTGTAATCCTGTATCCTGCTATGAGAAAACGTCCTCTTCAACGAGAGTGGAAACGCTCAGTGACTTCAGGCCTTGAATTGCCCCGCTGCCACCGGGTTACAGTTAAGCATTTAGTGCATTAGGTAAGACTCATTACCCCTTAGTTGCAAGTCGATTAAAGGTCACGAAGGGATCGGATGCCAGGTGGACGTTCAAGGATGGTTGGAAGCATTTGCAGCACATCCTCGTATTGGCGATATAGAATCATTGCGCACCAAGTTCGCATCGGAGAGGTATGCAAGAGTGTCACCTTCTTTGTTGATTTCCGCAGCAACAATCGTTGAAAAAAGAAGGATAATTGCATGTCTTTCACATTATGTACTTCATTGAATTAGGTGGAAACTGTAAGAATTGGAAGACATGTTCAACATTGCCAAACCTAGCATTATGATATTCCCAATCCCTTTGTCAAGAATACTTCAGAAACTCGTGGACTGCGAGCCAGTAGTTTGGAATGACCATGTTGGAACATATTTGAAGCTAGAAGCGTGGTATAGACAAGGTTGCTAGTTAGTAAATGCTTTAGCATTCACTCATGTGTTGGATATTCAGATTCTGTGGTGAAAATTCCATATTCAGATTCTGTTCGGGAGAGCAAGAGGCGGCACTCAGTAGCGCCAACGAGCACACTTTGCAGGTACTTTCTTTCAATCATCAATCGAGGTACTGAGCTCAGTTTTCATCAAAAAGTCAAGAAGCAATGTAAACTTGAAGTTGCCCTGCGCATGAAAGATTTTCGAGATGTAAAAACTTAATCTTCTAGTATCTCTTCGCTTCCATCGTTTATTGCCGTCTTTCGCTCATCCTCAATTGACCCACATGTAAAAAGAAGCAGGCATTCAAGTTTTGTAGAAGTGCTAATCATATACATTACTGATGCGCAGATTTGTGTGTGCATGGTAGCGCTTGATTTCTCTAATATCTACTGCTGTTTATCATTAGACCTTAAACCTCATCCTTCATTTTCTGTGACCTAAGTACAGGAGCTGGCCGATTGGAACCGCAAATATGAAGGAAAGTTTGGACATGTTTTTCTTATCTGTGCATCAGGCAAAAGCAGCAGCGAAATCTTAGCGGCGCTGAAGGTGACATCTAAGACTAATGACTAGGCTACTTGTACTATTGGGTTGTGGGTTTAAAATTGATTTGGTTGACTGTACGTGTCATCGAAGCGTTCCTGCGATACGATGGTCTTCATCATTGAATTGAATTTTAAATGCGTTGCTGCCCTGACGATAAGTGCATGAAGTTGACCTGTTCGAAATACTGTGGATCACATCTAGTTGAAATTAGCTTTTCTTAGCTAGTACTGTACTGCAATGCCACATTTTGTCAACGGGGAGTCTCATCCTTATTTGGTGTGTTTGGCAGGAACGATCTACCAATCGACCAATTGAAGAGCTTCAAAATGCAGCTTCTGAGCAGCAGAAAATCACGGAGCTGCGTCTTGCAAAGCTCATGTCGAGTGGCTTTAACAGTATGCATTTCTACTGTATTCACCTGCTATAGTGTACTATTTAAGCTAAATGTACATGATTATCTGAAATCGTTCAGGTCGGAGTCAGCAAACGGGTATCCATATCAAGTATGAAAGATATCTCAAGTTGATACTACGTTTATGCTGCTCACATCGTTTATCTTTGGCTCCAGGCTCTGGTGGTGACACTCAAGCTGTAGGTCCGCTAACCAACGTCCCCAAAGCTGCTGTCCTATCAGCACCCACCCCAAGCACCGCCCCAGCTTCCAACCTCCGTCCTCCCATAACAACTCATGTGCTTGATGTTGCGCTCGGAAAACCCGGCAGTAATATAGATGTCTCACTCCACTTTTTGACGGAGAATTCCATTGCTGAAGGTGACCAGGGCTCCTGGACACTCGTAGGAAATTCGCAAACAGACAACGATGGTCGATCTGGGCCTCTAATGCAACCGTCGAACTATCTACAACCTGGAACTTACCGAATAACCTTCAACACCGGGGCATACTTGGCGAGACTACATGGAAATAGTGGGTTTTACCCTTGTGCTAATGTGGTGTTCAAAGTCCGTCCTTCGCAATGTGCTGAGCATTTCCACATACCGCTCCTGCTGGCGCCATATTCCTATTCCACATATCGAGGTAGCTAGACACACAAGCTTGGGATTCGCTTGGCGCTGGAAGAAACTTAAGAAACATTGGTTTGGCCATTATTTCAAACTTCGGTTGCATAATTAAGGTTAATGTTGCGGATGGAAGTTTAGCAATGTCGATGCCAGGATCAATAGTGTGTTGGTCTGGATGACCACGAGTTCAGTAGAATAATATGTGTACCTGTTCATATAGCCAATCATAACATATTTGTTGATCTTGTAGCGTTGTGGAGTCGTGTTACCAGCTCATTTTGTCACTAGTCTTCTGCAATGGAGAGTTCCATGCACCTTTCACAAGATGCATTCTCCTACTTCATTTGCAGCTCAATTCAATGATTTGGGTCTATAGGTGCTCTGTTCTCAAGCAACTCTTGATCAAATATTGACAAGTTAATCAAAGGAGAGGGATCAAACTTGTCGAAGTTGCTTAGCAGAACCTCGAACTTCTACAAGTTTGTGCTTGGACAGAGCAAAAGATCTCACACTTGGACTAATTTTTATTGAGATGGAGGTTATGATTCGCTTTCCGATAGAAAGCTAATCCCAATCCTTATATCCCAATTACAGTTACTCGGAAATTTACTTTTGAATACATTCTTAATCATGCATGTTTTACTATTCAAGTTTGGATCTTTACCATTGTTGAAACTTCCTGATTTTTGTGTTATTTTTAAAATATGATTAGTAACAAATACAATTATCTTCTAGGGCTAGAATTTGAAAAAAAACAAATGCATATATATATATATATATATATACATATTTATTCATTGATATTTAAATATATCTTTACACAAAAAATAAATATTTTTTTGGCAACAATGTATAAATATAGTAAATAGCAATTCCATGCCATTCTACTAAATGGCATAGTAACATAGTACAACTTCTTTTACTTAAAAAATATACTCAATTACTAGATGTGTAATAAAAAATTCTATGCAATTTTCATTGCATGTACATTGTGTATTGCATGACTATCTTAAAATATCACTCAATTTACCAAGAGAATAAGAAAGATTATGAATTAATGAATATGATTTGTAGAACTTTGGTGATGTAAGAAGTTCTTTTAAAAGCTTTGAGAGTATTCTTGATAATTAAACAGGATATTCACTACAAGCAACAAAGTTTTCAAAAATATCAAATTTCTGAAAGGGCATAATTCATATAGATTACTCTAGAATAGAATGAATAAAGAATTTATTATCAATTTCAAATACATGGATATTTAAGGATTTTCATTTGTTTTAAAGAAAATCATATTAAAAAACATTTGACTTCCAAAAAATGAATAGACTCCTAAAGTAGATTTAATGATGTTTTTAATAAAGAAACAAATATTTATAATTTTTTTTAATGTTGTCAAATAGAGAAAGAGATGAGAAGAAGAAAAGAAATATGAAGAGATAGTAAGTTCTATCCATGATACTATAAGAAGTATTTCTATTTTCATCTCTTTTATCTTTTTTTGTTTTTTGATCTTCGAAGATATTGTAGAGAATTTTAAAGAGTTCCAAAAAGAAAATATGAAGTCAAAAAAATCTTATACAAATACTAAATTCAGAAATTCACCTCTTTCAGAAATTCAACCTTTGAGTTTCCAAAATACCAAATCCATGATTCTAAAAGAGTCGATATTATTCCGATATTTAAAACGAGGAAATTTTCATTTAGTGATTAAAATATCAAATTAGTTCATAAAAAAGTTTAATTCAGCATAAAACGACAAATCCCCAAGCAATGCAAGGCACCGTAAATGGAGGGGAGTGCGTAGGTCACGGCGACGGGACCACTCCCGAAGAAGCAAGTTCGTGGCGATGGGGTACCGTCCGCGATTCAAAAATAAAGAGTGCTGGCTGGCATCGGAAGGGGGGTTTAGGGTTTGGGGCTCGGGTGAGTTGCTCCTGTTTTCCTCACTCCTCTCCCCCGCTCTGCACCGGATTTTACACAGCCCTCAATCACATAAATTCAACCACAATCACCAACGTCGCCACCGTCACAGCCCTCCATCTCGCCCATGGATCCCGGCCTCATCAAGCTTCTCGAAGACGACGAGGTACACCACTTCCTCATGACTCCAGGCTCCAGGCACGGCACAAAATGTCCTCGCTTTCGCAATTCTGGTTCGCAGTTCTCGTCTACTCGGATCGTGGTTGGGGCGAAATCACTTGAAATTGGCGGAATTTCTGTGGAGTGTAGAAAAGTCGATACGCGAGGATTTATGTTAGAGATAACTGTCGTCAGGAATTGTAGCAGCGGGGGTAAAGGCAGTTTGAATCAGAGGTCGGGGTCGAGTTATGTTGCGCGATTGGGTGTCTGTTGAGGCGATCGATTACTTCTACGGTGGTTACGCGGGTTGAAGTTAGTTTAGTTTGGAATGCGGGTTGGCAGAAGTGATGGATTGGGAATTTGGGTCGAATGGAGCAGAAGGACGTAGTTCGAGTACTGCTAGTACATTGAACAATTAGCCCTAGAAAACATGCTTGTAAGAGATTTTTTTTTTTTTTTTTTTTTTTTTTTAAATTATTTTCTTCATTTTTCTCGTTTTGATTTTTGTGGATAATACATGAGGCTCTTTCTTGGGTCTAGACAGTGGGATTTAATGGCTCGAGGTCGATTTTTGAGCTTCAGCGTGAGTACGAGGATTTCCCATTGCTGGAGTTCAATTGCAAATTCTGTGTCACTCAGATTTTTTTTGAATTACGTTCTGTGGAAGACGTTGTCAATATATGACAATTGAGACTATCATTGAACAGGAGGATGAGACCGGACCGCCGGTGTCGGGAGCTGCTGTTGATGCATATACGGAGAGATTGAAAGGGGTGTTGGGTGATGGAGGTCCTGGAGTTGCTGGCGCTGCATATGGTCTGGCGCGGGCGGGCAATGGCAGCCTGAAGCCCATAGCGACTTCAACTCCTGCACTAGCCCCTGCAGCTTCTTCTGCAGTTCCACCTGCCACAGGTTAATTTACGATTTCTTGTTGACGTTGATGATGTTATGTGTTTTAGTGATCTAAGGAATATCGTTGATCTGTGGCTCATGCTCTGAGAAGTTTCAGAGAATACAGGAGCGGTATTATTGAACCTTGAGGCATGCAATTAGAGGGTGAGCAAGGCGACTGAGGTTTGATCTTGCATCAGGAAATTCTGAGACTGCATCGAGTGTGCCAGCGGCTCATCCGTCACCGTTGACTCTTCCGATCACTCAATCCCAATGGGCAAAGCTAACCCCGCAGCAACAGCAGTTATATCGTCAGCAGCACCACCTCCGTCAACAAGCTTTGCTGAATCAACAGCGGCAGCAGCAGCAAGCAGGCGTGCAGCAGGCAGGCGCAGGTGCTAGTGGGCAGCCTCAAAGGCGACCAGGGAGTAACATCAGTCAAGGCATCTCATTCGGGGAGTTGATGCCTCTGCTCCAGCCTCATCTTCCTCCCGCGCAGTCTGAGCAACTGAGTGCGTTGTACCAGAGATTTAAGGCAAGTTTTGGTGCTGTATGTTGGTCCATAAGAGCGTAGGGGTTGGCATGTAACCTGTTTCAGAGTCTTGACGTGTAACCTCTTGGTGCATACTTTTACACATAATACTGCGTCTGCGTCTGCGTCTTGACGTCTGCGCATGCCGTTCAGTTCCAATTTGAGGTTGCAGAAATCATGGTTGAGGTGCTGTTCTCCGATTATTGAGTAGCGGGGTAGATGTTGAGGGTGCAGGTAATATAATGTATGGCTTTTGTTGATGGGTTGGTTGTGAATTCGGAACCCGACAAGTTTGTGGTGGTTGCCTTTCAGCAAAATGAGATCACAAGAGAAGACTTTGTCCGGGGGGCTAGAGCGATTGTTGGAGACCAAGTTTTGGTGCAGACTATTCGGCAAATGCACAAGGTGAGTCCACATTTGGTGTCTTACCGATGTCGGTGATTTTTGTCGGCCTGGCAATAGTTCTATTAATCGTCTTTCGGCGCGTTTGTACTTATGAATGTATAGAGGTGTTGTGTTTAACCTCATACTCCAAGCAACTATTGTTTTTGAAAGAAAAAAGTGTGTGTCTTTATTAGTAGCGTTGTAAGAATTTTAGGAAATGTATGTTAGGTCGGGTTTGTGGGTGATGACCTAGGATTCGATTGGATTATCATTGATTGGTTGATGTCTTTCTCAACGACCTGACGGAGGAGGTTTTGTCTTTTTTCTTTTTTCTTTTTTCTCTTTCTTTTTTCTTGATATACGGTCTCTCCAGCAGCATCCACAAGGAGGTCCATCACCTGGAGTATCTCAACAAACAGGGGCTCAACATGCAGTGAGTCAACAAACAGGGACCCAACAACAGGCAGTTCATCAGCAGTTAGGCAGCAGTTCGCAAATTGCAGCAGCGCAGCAATCAGGACCTGCTGGTCAGCCGGCTACTTCGTCTGGCTCAAACTCGCAACCTACAAATGCCGTGGCTGTTTCTCAACAACAAAGCACGAAAGCAGCCATTGAACAAAATGATTCTGTGCCATCCGTCGGAGTTATGCAGGCTCAATCTCTGCAACAGCAACAACAGCAACACCAAGATCAGCAGCAACAGGTATATTGATTTCTACATCCGTGTACAAACACATTGGCAGTTATGTTGGAGATACTGAGTTATGAGTGGTTAGGTATATCAGGGTTCTTCTGTAGTTTATAGAGATGATCATGGGCTGTTGTTGAGTGTGGGTTTGGTTTTAAAGTTTTATTGGGCTGGACAAGGATTAGTGGCTGATAAAGTTGCGTAGTGCTTTTTTTGGACGTTCTCTTCTTATTTTGAATCGGCTTGATGTTGGTTGTTGAAATAGACTGTCTAATGAATGAACGTTATTGAGACATGTGTGGAATGTGGAATGGTTAGGGACATAATTCCAGTCAACCAGCCTCCGTTCCTGCGGGACAGCAGCAGCCGAAGGTGGAGGAACATCCCCAAGGCTCTTCTCAATCAGGTCAATCTAAAGCGCCTGCACTACTTCAAAGCTCGGTACCAGCTCGACCCAATCTGCCAAACGTGAAAGCGGTGGAACAAAGTCAACAATCGGGAGATACAAGTAGCCAAGGAACGGCAGTCACCTCACCTAGTTTACAGCAAGTGAAGAACGAGGTGGACAAGGCTGTGGGCCCTACCCAAGCCGTAAGGCCGCTGCACATGCCAGCGTCAGGTTCATTCGGTGGGTTTCAAGCTCGACCTTCAACACTGTCAACACCTCACACTCCGGGTGGTCAAGTGCATCCGGGTCATCCGGGACAGGTATGAGGCGGGTGTTGCTTTGTAATTCGTGATTGTGGGAATGATAACTTCATTGTTATTTAATGCGAGAGCTTGAATTAGGACCTTGTTCAATGTGCCTGGAAGTTGAATGTTTAAGTTGTGGAGCATCATGTAAGATAAGATTGTTGAATGGATGTAGTGCACTGAGATATCTGATGAGAGCAAGTAGCCGGGTGTGTTCAGGTGCCGAGGGCGCCCACTCCAATGCAGTTTAGTGCGTTACCACAGACTCCTCACATGAGACCTGCTTTCTCTCAAGCAATGTCTGAGACGAGTCAGCAGTCGGATCAGAAGCCTCTGACAAAGTATGCGAAAGCAAAGCTTCGGAAAGAGCAGAAGAAGGCGGAAGAGGAAGAGAGAGCGCGGAAAATGGCGGAGGACGAAAAAATGAGGAGGCAGCAACCAGGTGGTGCGGGCATTGCAAGCCCTCATCCTCAAACACCGCAAACAGCCCAATCGGTGTCAATGCCAGTGGCAGTACCTCAGCCACATCCGAAGTTGCTGGAGAGCAAACAGCAGGCAGCGCAATCCATTCATGCAGTGAAGCAGGAGGCACATATCGACCAGCAAACTGGAGGTGCTCTTCAAAGAGTTCCGGTGACACCCATGCAGACGGGCCAGGTATTCTCCTTGAATAACGTCTGGATTATCACTCAGAAGTTCAGTTTATTTTACTTCCTGCTAGTGACTTGGATGCGAAGTTCCCAGTTGTAGTCTGTGCGTGCCGTCTTGGGATGAGACATTTCGGGTCACAATGGTTGTAATAGGTGTATCTTATCTTTTTGGAACATCTTGTCCTTCCGCTGTTCAGATGGCCATCAAAGCTCCTGGGCAAGTGCAACTTCCTGAGACAGTAGTGTCTCAAGCTATCCCTGCAGTTGCTAGAGACCCAAATGCACAGGTTCCAGGTAGCGACAAGAGCCAGCTGAACACCCCGCCAGCAGGGGGACCAATGTCTCGTTACACAGGCCTGCCGGGTTTGGCGGGCGCTTCTCAGCTAGTTGCAGTCGGAGGTACAGCGGCTGGTAGCACTACCCCTCAGGCAGGTGGTTCTGTGAGACAGGTACTTTAATCGATGCTGGTCTTTAGGGGAGTGGTTGTCTATATGAAAAAGATGATTGGCACAATGTTCGGGGTGAGAGTTAAGGAAAACTGGACATTTGGAATAAGTTATGTAGGGAAGTGGAACCTGTATTATTCACGTTACGTACTATAGCCATCTACATCCTTTTGACTCGATGCTGGTTGCGTCCACACGAAACATTCCTCAAAGGCTTCGTCAAAGTACCTTAATGAATTCATTTTTATACTAACTCGATAGGAGTACACAATTATTATCTTCATTAACTAATTAAGACAATTCGAGTTTGTGATTGAATTTGCTTGTTGAAAGTTGTACCATGTCATAGTAAAGCTCACGAATGTTTGCGTCTTTAGATTTTACTAAAGGGCGAGTGTTGTTTTTACGTTTCTTTGAATAAACGTGCCTGAGCTAGAGAACATGTTGGTGACTCCTGTGTTCCTTCATTGTAGAGTTTTCGTTACACCTCGTCTCCCACATGGATTGGTGTAACCCTTAATCCTCAAGTGATGCTGTCTCTGCTTTGAGTGAACTTTCAAAGGCGTTGAAGTATTGACAGGGTTTCTGGGTGTGCATGTTTTTTGGTGCGCAGGGACCCCCTTATGTTCTTGCTTCCGAGCTACGAAGTCCTGCTATGAATTTCAACTCGGGGATGAGTACACCCGCTCCGAAACCGGGAGCAGGTGGCGGAGGCGGAGCTCCTGGAGGTCCTACTGCGCAGGCACTGAACACTGGTGCGAAGACTCCTGTTAAGAAACCCGCTGTTGGAGTGGGTCAGAAGAAGCCAGGCGAAGCCTTGCCTGCCACTGCACAACCAGCAAGGTGAATAAGAAGGGCCTGTATATGTGATCTTTCTTCAGTGGCTCGATTTGAGGTTGAGTCGAAGCTGGGTGAGCATTGTTGTGCAGATGCAGCTGCGGGGTTTGTTCCTTTACTGCGCTTTGTAACTGTGCACGGTGGGTCATATTGACTTGTTGGAGGGTTAATAATGAACCGGGGTCTTTGGTTTTAGTAGACGGGGAAAGTACTGAATCTGAATGTGATGTTAAAATCAGTGCACAAGCTAGAATCTCTAATGTTGAGCTCCTATATGTGTTGGCTGTGATGATTTGTTGCACGTCTGGATGTAGATTTTGGTAATTTTGCAATTTTACTGATGTGGTTGGTGGGGATGCAGCAAGAAACAGAAGACCCAAGGAGCAGAGGCTGACCAGAGCATTGACCAGCTGAATGATGTGACGGCCGTGAGTGGTGTGAACCTAAGGGTACGTTGTGTAACTGTACACAATTTTTTAGTTCAGAAAGTGAAAATAGTATTTAGAAGTGTAGGCGATTGGCGGTATGGGACGGTTTCAGGTGCAATGAGAATGTTCTGGTGACAAGTGACTACTGCACAGGGGTTTCGTGGGGTTGTTTGTTTCTGCGGCATTGACCTCCTCTGTTGTTGCCCAGATGTTTGAAATTAGGTTTTCTTTTGAGTGTGGGGCCCTAGAGCTGATTAGCTTACGTATGATGATTCATCTGAACGTTAAAGGCGTGTAAAGTGGAGGGTTTCGAAACTCTGAAGTCATACTAAGTCGTAGTTTTAGAAATTGGCTTGGAGTCTAATAGCAAACGGTTGTGATTAATAGTTTGTGTAGGAGACGAGGATGTGTTGTACTTTTGGAGGTCATACGTGGTGCTCATACATTTCATGGGATGTGTTAATCGCAGGAGGAGGAAGAGCAATTATTGGCTGGTCCAAAAGAGGAAAGTCGAACGACAGAGGCAATGCGAAAGTTTGTGCAGGAAGAAGAAGAGCGATTGTTTCTGGAGAGGGGACCATTACGTGCCAAAGCTCAGGCTATAGGTAAGCAGATTTGCTTGAGATTATGTTTGTTTCATGGTGGCCTGGTGTTATTTCTGATGCGCTGAGATATGCTGAATCAATGAGATCGGTAGAGCAAGAGGTATGATATTCATGGTGATGATGTCGTATGTACCTAGGGTGTGCACACATCTGGATTTATTGAGAATGACAGTTTGTATCTGTGGACGAGATGTCTTGAGGGGTAGGAACGTGCTAAGCGGACTTGGAGGCTCTGACATGAGATGCGTTGAGTGGGTCTTAGCGGCCTTTCCGTTTTGAGTAGAATTTATGGTTGTGAACGAATGTTGTAACAGGGTTGTTGGTGGGTGGTTGCAGCTGCGAAATGTGGGTTGAGGAGCGTTAGTGAAGACGTGGAGAGATGTATATCCATGGTGGGTGCTTCTTTTCATTAACATGGATACATGTATTTTATGGCTCTATTCGAGGGAACGATAAATGGGATGTAACACAGTTGTTTGTTAAAAGTGGTAGATTTATATGTGAGCTTCGATGGTATTAACATTTGTGATTGTTTGCGGAAAAACTGATTTTGTTTGTTTTCAGGCTGCTGAGGAGCGAGTGAGGTCCATGCTTTACAAGTTGATCAAGTATTCTAAACAGGTATGCGTGGGTTATTGTTTTGTGTGGCATATAACCCATCATCGTCAGGTTTGGGGCGGCTCGTATCCAGTGGGATTTGTGAAACTGAGTGGGGTGTTTTTAGCAGCAGCTGGTTTGAGACATAGGTGTGGTGGCGTTAGTGGTCAAGTTTTATAGACTTTTTCGCGTGTATGTAATGACGTGGTAGTCGATTGTGGAACAATTGTTGACTTGTTATAACTGGAGACATGTGCAGCGTTGTGATGTGGAGAAAGATGCACACAGTACAGTGGTGACATCGGATCCTCGAAGGCAAGTTTTGTTGATGAAGAAAAGGGCGAAGGAGGCGATGGAGAAAAAGCTGGCGGATGAGAATGAACGGTTGCGTAAATTGAACGAGGTAAGGCTAGGTTAAGAAGTCACATTGAGTTGGGAAGATGTTTGGTAGAAATATTGGGTGGTGTATATGCTCGTTAACCTGAGTTTGGTGCGCTGGTTGGGTAGCTGAAGTTGGCGGTTGTCAAGGTCGTGGTATTGGATGTTTTAGTTGCCTAGTACAGGGTTCATCAGTGGTTGTAGTCCAGGGTTGAATGACATGTTGCGGGCATGCGGAGGAATGTGTGATTGGCGATTGCATGAATCGTGTTTTTCGCATGGTGAGAGGGCTAGTGGCTGTATGATGAAGAGGGTTCTTGGATGTTGGATGATAATCTAAAGCAGTCAGCACTGTGGTTTTAGAAAAAGGACAAAGGAGCACTGGCTGACGGTGACAACGAGGATTTGAGGCTGAAGGCGCAGAAGGTAACGCCGAGACCGTGTTTGTAAGATGTGACTCGGCAGTATGGTGGTGATGGTTACGGTGATTGATCAAATTTAGGTCTATAAGGGTGTATTCTGATGACGTGCATTTTAGGAGTTTTGCACTAGGTAATGTGGTGCCTTGATTTTCCAGTTGCGGTAATGAAATACTAACGTTGGGATGTTGGCCCTGTATCTTGGTGAATACCATATGTATGATGTTTGACTGTTCTTATATCGCGACTGTTTTTGGGTTGTTTAAAGGCCCAACAAGAAGAAGATGACAAAATGAGGGCGAAGGCTGCGAACGTGGCTGCAAGGGCTGCAGTCGGAGCAACGGACATGCTATCGAAATGGCAGATGATGGCAGCGCAAGGGCTGGCAAAACGACAGGGCGGGGACACTGGTAGGCCGTAATAAATGATGTTGGAACGGGTGGCTCTCGGTTGATAGCATGAAATTGCAGCGTTGTCGTGGCTGGAGGGCGAGGAGGTGGTGCATGAGGGCATGGATAGACAGTGCTGCAGTCTGTTGGCGATTTTTATTAATTTTCGTTAAGTTGATGAGTGCAGCAAACGAATCTGCAAGAACAGGCGGTGGCGAGGAAACTTCGGGCAGCCGAGAGCAGGAGCGTAGGCAGGAGAACGGGGAAGTGGGAAAAGCTTCAGGTTCTGGACGGGTAGATAATGACGGTGATGGATCTTCTGGAGCTGCGGTTGCCGGTAGACCTACAGGTATTTAGGTTTCGAAATGGACCTTTAAGATGAACGGGTTGAGTCGATGCATCTCGTGGCCATTCAGAGGGTCGGCTTATGTCGATGGAGGAATATGTGTGCCTGATGCTGGCATTTGTTTTGTATTGTGAATTCTTGATGTTTGAGTTAAGTGAAACTGCGGACGGCGGTCGTAGGCTTGTAGGTCTGATGTGGGACTGCACGGTGTGAGACTCTGCCAGGGCCCGGTTCAGGGACGGGGAGGGGCGGCGCGGTGCGTAGGATTGGAGCACCGGGTGGAAGGCAACCTCGTTCGATATCGATGAAAGATGTGATTGCACTACTTGAGAGAGAGCCACAGATGTCAAAATCAACATTCTTGTATAGGTTGTACGAACGCGATCGCAAAGCAGAGAGCTCTAGGAGAATTTAGATTGGAGTATTATTCTGGGGCTATTCTTCGCCTGGCGTTCAGTGCAGAGATGAGCATGTTTGATGAAGGTTGACCTTTAGTGTCGGTTCTTGTGCTTTTTTTGGATTGTGTGGGAAGCCCATAGTGCGATGTCGCATGTCGCCATTGGAGTCGTGCTGGATGGTGCAAGGGAGTCATGGAGAAGAGTGGACGATTAGTTTAGTAGTGGATTCCTGTAGACCGCAGAATTGAGGATGGGTCTGGGAATTGTAGACATGTTGTACACAATGCATGAACTGTTGGTCATTGTTGATGCCTGAGATGATCATATTGTAGACAGGTCAAGTTGGTTGCGGGACGGTTTATATGTTGTGGAACTTGAATCGTTCTAGAAATTGCACATTTTTTTTTTTTTTTTTTTTTGTTTTTTTTTTTTTTTTGTAATGGTTCTTGCCAAATCGTTTTCAGTTTGGCGTGTCTAGGAAAGAAGGAAAGATTTTTTCTTACCTTCCTTTTTTATTCTTCTCTCTTATTTTTTAAAAATCTTTCCCTTCATTCTGTGGGAGCCTGACATATGGCAGTTGTAACAATCCGCACATTTTCAGTTGTTTCTTCACATGCGCTTTTTACGTTGAATTGTTCCAATGCCCATGTTGTTTGGATGTAACGAAGCATTGAAGGCATGCTAGAGTATGTGCAGAATCCGAACCATTTTGGGAGTTTTATTATGAGTAATTGGGAACTGGAAACACCTACCAAGTATCATAAACTTGTAACATCTGACAATTGGATGGAGCAGTTAACTTGCAGTATTGTATTAACTGAGGATGGTATGAACAATATCGTTTGGGTACGAAGCATCGTCGATTGTGATTCTGTGAAGGATGGAAAACGCGACAGTCAATTTGCAGATGATGGGGGTTACAGAATTGAATGTCCAGTGATTACAATTGAACACCAAAGCAAACTAAACATCAAGCTGATAGTGTTATTGGTCGATTAGAGGAAATTTCATTCTGTTTGCACTAAAGGTAGGTTTATTAATGTATGTGCTAGTTAATCTAATCTAAATTAAAAACATTTTTGCAATTGTGTACCTATGGACTCAGAGATTCTGAAATGGACATGAATATTGACTATTGGATTGAGAGATTGGAGGACATTGGCATGAACCTATCTGTGCAAAAAAAGTCCATTTTTATATGAAAATTCAATACGTTATCAAATAGGTTTTAACAATTGATCAAAACATTATTTGTTAAAGGATTTTACACATTATGAGTCTTTAGACACTAAATACAAAATTGAAATAAATTAGTATTGTTTTGTTGTAATTTTCTATATGAATATTTTGATCATTTTGGAAATAAGTATATTAAAAAGAAAATGGCTCTCCAATAAATAAATAATAATAATAATAATTATTATTATTATTGAGTGATTATATTTAAATTTAGCATTAAAAATAAATAAATAAATGATTTGAAGAAATACATTATTATTTTAGAATTGAATCTATAGAAGATCAAATTTATCATATTACCATTGAGAGTTGATATGAGTGCTTTGATTAATGAAAAGATGATTCTTTCTACTCTCTATAAGTATATATAATAATATAATAAACTTATCTTCATTCATTTATACTCATAGTATGTCAGCTCATATCAATTCTTTAGTGATTTTAGAGTTTAATACATAGTATATATTTTTTTCTTACATACAAATACTTTCTAATTAAATCTACAAACTACTTCTTTTAACAACACAATAAACATCAACTTATAAACAAACAATCAAAAACCAAAGGTAGAATAGATGAATATATAAACTATCTATTAGATGTAGAATATGAATGGATATTTTATCCAATACTTCTATTCATTCAGACACATTCTACAAAGAATGGTAAATTCTATTATCTTCTCACTTATTTTCATGGAATAGTTGGATATCTAGTAAATAACAGAGGCATTAAAAACCATCATTAAATAACAACTTGGTTAAAATGTCAGCAATTTGCATATTAGTATGAATGTATTAAAAATCCATGAAATTATTTTCATAATATTTTCTCAAGGACAAGAACTCAATGAAAGCAAATAAATAAGTGAGACTTTTTTTTATAGAAAGATGATAAAATAAAAATAAGAAAGTATGTATATTAAAAAGAAACTAGAATAGCTATTGCTAAAAGATAATAAAACTAGAAATCCTTGAAATTAGACTACAAGCAAGAAAGGAATTGATAAGAATGAAGAAGGCTTCAATCTTACCTCTATATACATTATTTAATTAAGAGCTATGTGGTGATGTTCTATAGGACTTCTAACACATGTCCAATTTGCAAGACATGTGTCTTAACTTATAAGACAAGTTTCTTGTATGTGCGCTACATGCTTAGCTTGAATCACAAGCTACCAACACATATGACACATGGCTAACTTATTGGCAAAGTGTTCAACCTACCAATCACCTTTAGATACGTATAAAAGTGAAATTACATCAATGAAGCTTTTATAAAGCTTCTCTATAAGATATTATTAAATTTATCTACTTTAATTTATTTTTATTTATTAATATTATATAAGTAATTATTGGAATAAACATATATATCCGTAATATTACCTACATCCTTCTATCTCTTTCTCTCTGTCTCACTTCTCCCTCCTTTTTCTAAGAACGAGTTCTATGACAAGCAATGATCATCTGTTGATGAAGTTCAAGATGAGGCTAATTGTATTTGCCACATACTATAAACCACATATTGTTCAACCTATCAATTACTTTAGATACATATAAAACTAAAACTGCCTCTATGAAGCTTCTAAAAAGCTTCTTTATAAGATATTATCAAATTTATTTATTTTTACCTACTTCTATCTATTCATATTATCTAGATAATTATTAAAATAAATATGTATGTTTGTGACATTATTCCTTCTTTTAGGAATAAGTTCCAGAAGGAGCAATAATTACATGTTGATGAAGCCTAAGATGCAACAAATTGTATTTGTTACATATTGTAATTTTTGTTTCTTTTAAAGGTAGTTAATAATATTCCATTCTATGGCAAGAAGACCATCTTGTTATTTGATTGTTGGTGAGGCCTTCATAACTTCCTTCAAACAAAATATTTGTAACACCATTAAGAATTATTCCTACCTCCAATAAAATCACCAAACATTAGAAGTTTTTTTTAAGGTCGTGATACCAAAGGCATTGTACCTTGTCATCTATTGAAGGAAGTATATGTTATTCTTGAAGGTCCTTATTTCTATTATGTCATCTTGAAGGCTAAAAAAATTGCAATGTCTTATTTGATAAATCAACAAATGATAGCTCTTCAATTGAATTTGTTGGCTATTGGTTTTCCATCTTGTTAGTGCTACTAATACAAAGAAATCTCAATAAAGGATAGAAGATGGAATGCAACCTTCATTGAATATCTTTTTAATAAGAATGATTTATTTGACTCCTCATCTTGGTTTTGATAGATGTTATTGATGACAAGATTTTGACCTTTTTTACTATATTTATAAAATTCTTTGTTGGCTCCCATATACATTTACTAATATTGTATCCATACCAATAAAGAAGATATTTCAATCTAAGCTTACGCCACCTTAGGTCTAAGTCTTAGTTTGACTTGTCACAAAAGTGAATAGTCTTGACATTATAATAAAGTATCCATACTTTATTGTGATTATGGAATTGAATTTATTCCTTGTAATAGACATCACCATTGATCTTTTTTTGTTCTTGAACTTTTTTTAGATATGTCTTCATTATTGTATGTAGCTCAAATAAAGAATTTATCAAATCATCTGCCATAGGATTATCAACTTTTTAAAAGTCAAAAGCATCAAGTTCTTGATGATAATTATAATTTTCAAAAAAACATATTTTTTGCGTAGGAGAATGTATTATATTATTATAAATAGATTAAACTAATAGTTTAAAAATTATCCAATCATCTTATTGATAGTTGATGATACACCTCAAATATTACTTCAAAATTTGATTTATGCACTTCATTTATATATCAATTTGAGGATGAAAAGTTAAAGATAGTTTTATGTCCATTTTTAGAATCTTAAAAAAAAAACCTAAAATCTTAATAAAAATTGAATCCTCTTATTCAATATAATATCTTTAGACAATCCATGATAACAATAGATGTTGTCAAGAAAAAACTTAGTTGTTTATTTATCTAAGATAGATTTTATACATAGTACAAAATATGCCATCTTGGTGAAATAATCTACTATTGCAAAAATAAAGTCATAGGAACCTAATATTGAAAGATTTGTCATAAAATCAATAAAAGCAAAAGACTATGGTCATTTAGAAATAAGTAATGGTTGATGAAGTTTGTAAGATCAATGATGAGGAGTTTTTGATCTTAAATAAACATTACATAATTGTACAAAGTTTTTGATTGCCTTCCAAATTTCAAGCCACCAAAAATCTTTGGATATTAACTCCAAAGTCATGTTGCATCCAAAATGTCATACTACTGAAAAGTCATAAAGAATTTCAAGAACATATAATTGTGCTTCACTTTCTTGAACATATAAATGTTCCTTGAAATAAAATAGACTGTTCTTGAATTCAAACTTAGAAGTATCATGAGATTTTGAAGAATTTTATTTAATATCACAAACAAGAAGTTCAAAGGACTAGCTTTATTTAATAAAAATTGAATTAATAATTAATATTGATTTCAATGCTGAAAGATAAAATTGCTCTAGCTTCAAAAAGATGGTTTGTTATTGATCAAAAGCTGTATCTCTTTCATTTGATACAAGATAAGATCATTTAAAAATGACATCTAATAATCCTTGTTATTTTTTTAATCAATAAGTAATCTTGAATTTAAATCTTAACAAAGACATGTTCCAACAAGTTTGGCAATGATTTAAAACTTGTGTTGATATGAAATACTTGAAATTCTTGAGATTCATATATATAGTGATTATGTTAAAAGCACCTTTTAGATAATGACACCACTCTTGAAATAAATTTATAATTATAAGAAGTTCTTTACCATAGATCTTGTAGTTGATTTCAACTACTAAAATGTTTTGTAAATGAAAAGATATTAGATGAAGTTTATCATTTACTCTTATTTGTGATAAAATAGTAGCTAAAGTAAGGTTTGATGTATCTATGTATTATTAAAAATGGATCAAAAAATGGCTGAAAGAAGTCAACGCAATATAAAATTAGTGCAAAAAAAAAAAAAAAAAAAAAAAAAAATCTTAATAGCTTCAATTTTTTTAATAAAATAAAAATAGAAATTTTATATATATATATATATATATATATTCATTTTATTTTTTATTCTATCTATTTTTGTATAGATCTTGGCTTATTTAAATTAATTAAGAAATTTAAATATAAAAAATAAA